AAACCTTAACTTATTTCCAGACACACGGTGCAACATTGCTCGTTTAGCGAATCTTCCCTACCTCTTCCTTTCCCAAAACCTTAACTTATTTCCAGACACACGGTGCGACATTGCTCGTTTAGCGAATCTTCCCTACCTCTTCCTTTCCCAAAATTTTAACTTATTTSCAGACACACGGTGCAATATTGCGCGCGATTGCAGGTAATCCATTTTGCAAGTCATGTCACACGACGCAATGTGTTGCACGCAATGTTGCTGATGTACAAAACGATCCTACTTCAGGAGCATTGCCTGCAACGTATTCCTTGATTACTTTGTATATTTATGTCATCAGGTTAACATGTCACCCAATCTGTCTTCTGGCTCTCATTCTGACAACGCTCTTATGTATGAACAGGTGTGTGGAGCGCTGTGAATGTTAACTTATGAGATGGCGCACCAATGATGGAGTGGATTGATGATGATAATGATGATGATGATGATGATGGTGATTATGATGATGATCAGTTATGGTGATCGATGATGATGACATCAATAGATGATGATGGGTGGCAGTGATTAATGATGATGATTGTAATAGATGATGATGATCAGTGGTGGTGTTGATGATAATGATAATACATGATGATGATTATGATGATGATGAAGGTAATTGATGAGGATAATGCTAATGATAATTGATGATAATTATGAATAATGATGATAATAATTAATTATTGATGATTGACAAACATTGCGATGATGATTGATCTTGACGACGATTAAGATGATAATGATTTTAAATTTTTATTGATTTTGTATATGCAGGTCATATTTAATCTTTTTGGACTAGTTGGAGTGAGCAACAGATTAGCACACAGTACCAGATCCAGGTACACTAACCATACTGTTAATACTGCTAGGAGAAGAAACCAGGGAAGGGAGGGGAATGACCAATAAAGACGGCCATTCTAAAGGCCTTGTTACGCGAGGCAATTTTTCTTTCGACTTGCAATTGTTTCGTTGCAAGTTGCAGAATAGACTGCGCGTTAACAACCCCTTCTAAGTTGCAACAAGGTTAAACGAGCTTTCGTTTTTACTTTTTGCGAGTTGCGAAGAGTTGTGCGCGTCAGACCTCTCACCTTCGACTTGCAGTGCTCCGCTTTCGTCAGCACAGCATCGTAAGTTGCAAGAAAATCTAACTCGTGTAAAATTGCCTTACTGCAGTATGGATATTCTGCACACTTCAGACATTTCAATGGCCTGTTTTAAATATAAAAGGTACAGACTGATTATTTTTGATTGACAGCCGCGAAAAAGCAAATTTCAGCGTGCAACTTGTAACTTCCGAGTTCGCGGAATATCGAACACCGCAGTATTTTGTATTTTACGAAAGAAAAACCACTTGTCCTAATAAATCTCTCATATTGTGCCGATCCCGGAATACTCTTTCATAACTACACACTACATTTTTCTCTTTGTTGATTTTACTTTACACAGAATTCATAACTTGTACTTACTAACAAAAAAAATTTGATGTGTTTTAGTCCAGAGAGTGAGAAAGATATGATGGTAGCTGATTACAACATCGTTACCTCACACGACGCGTGCGCGAGTAAAGAGTGTAAAATGTCTTGTATACATAAGGTACGATTACCGCATTATATGAAATTGTTGCTATTACATAGGAGAAGGCTGTACTTCGTTGGCATCAAATGTGTGTAGAGTCTGTTGGGTCTCCATGATTAAAGAATCAAAGTGTGGGAGGTCCCGGTTTTTCCTCCACAAAATTCTGTCTTGTGAAGATGTTTCAGGGTTCGATTCGATAAAATTAGCAATTGGTTTGTAGCTATTGCTGGGTTTCATTCAGCTGATAAAAGTCCTTGAATCCTTGAATCATGCGCTCCAAATGGTGGTCAAACACTGACCACCATGTGCTGTCAACCAGAAATAATCCTATTGAAAATTTGCGGTTAAGCCGATGAACATTCCGCACGAGACAGTAAAAGACGCCAAGTAAAACCCAGCAATTGGTTCAAAATTTCTTCCCTTTGCTTTTCATTTTTATCTTATTATGACTTTATCATTTTATTTCCAGTCATGCCAGACTTGTCATCAGTGCCTGACTGTAGAACAGCGGTCTTTCCTCAAAGCGGCTTATTATGAACACGTCAACAGAGGAGGCTATCGCCGCGTGTTCCCGCCACCAACGGTAAGCATGGTTTTTATATTTTTGGTTTTATGTCTGTAACTTCGATATTTTTTGTCGAGGATTTTACCCTCTTTGTCAAGCTTGTAGAAACCAGTGTCGCTTGGTTGGTTAGTGTGCTGCCTGTTAAGCAAGAGGTCCATAGTTTGATCCTTAGTAACCTCACACGCTTGTTTTAAGGAGCAAGTGTGCCTTGGTTGGTTAGTGTGCTGCCTGCTAAGCAAGAGGTTCATAGTTTGATCCTCAGTGACCTCACACACTTGTTGTAGGAAACAAGTGTGGCTTGGTTGGTTAGTGTGCTGCCTGCTAAGCAAGAGGTCCATAGTTTGATCCTCAGTGACCTCACACACTTGTTWTAAGGAGCAAGTGTGGCTTGGTTGGTTAGTGTGCTGTCTGCTAAGCAACAGGTGCACAGTCCATGCTTATTGAGCTCACACACTTGTTATAAGAAGCGAATGTTGCTCAGTTAGTGGAAAAGCTCTGCCAGCAAAATTTCTTGCACCATGTTGTTTGATATCGTTGGTACAATTGTGTCCCAACAATGGTGAGCAAAACACGCGGTGCAATGAATTCTGGGAAAAAGTGTACCCGCAATACATTGCAATTCTTAAAAAGAAGCTGAAGGCCGTGTCTATATTTTCTAGCACAGGTAGCCCAACATTACGTTAAACACCCTACTGGAAATATTAGTATTCTTAGTTAGAATTATTATTTTTTTAAATCGATTTTAATTGGTTATCAGAACAAAGAAGAAACTCGTAGCCAAAACTCCGACCATCTAAGTTCGTCAAATCAACTAATGGATCTCTGGTTCAAACAAAAATGTCTACAGCATTCTTCGTGGTGTCAATAACTGGTATTCCTGTGGTCAATGGAGACACAGGGATCCCACTTTTAAAATTCTCATAAGTACATAGATATCGCGTAGTTCGAATTTTTTCAATTTTGCATAATTCTTAAATATTTATCTATTTAATTTTCTTAATATTTCATAATATTTAATTTCGAGCGAGATAAAATACTCAAAATATGTACAATTAGAGTAAAATATGAATATAGGCAGATTGCAGTTATTTTCATCAACTCAATCTGCCAGTATTCATTTTTTAACTAATTGTAATAAATTYATTAAAGTTCATAACAACAAATAACAAGACCTATGAATAGCATTTTTTCTAAATAAATACGAACGCATAGAACACATATACAGCTATTTCGAAAATCCTTGTCGCACCAAGAGCCTCAAGCAACAAGCCAAGGCTCCAGAGAACGTYGGTACTTTTAATTATAATCAGATTTATTCATGGTCCATGCAAGTGGCTATAGCTCTACACTAATTATCCTCGCAAGCAGCCTTGCTTGGAGCAATTTGTGAAGTCAATAAATGAAAACTAATTACAGCTAAAAGTACCGGCGTTCTCTGCGGTCTTGGCTTGTTGCTTGAGGCTTTCGGTGCGACAACGATTCCTGAAATAGGTGTACATGTACCAAAGCACGAAGGAAGAGTCATATTCATCAGTAACATAGAGGATATTACATGGGCGCGCGGAGATACGAAATTTATCTTCGAGTGTTGAAAAGATCTCTCACAAGTGAGTGCAGCGAACGAGTGACAGACTTTCAACACGAGAAGATAAAATTCGTATATCCAAGCGGCCATGTAATATTCTGTTTATTATATAATTGTCAATGAAGTATGTTTTGGATTTTTCAGGCAATTCTTTCCGTGTATTTTTGAATAGCCATCGCAATGGTGTTATTTTCACACGTGAAAATAACATGTTATTTTCACGTGTGAAGATATCAATTTTTCCAAATAGAGAAAAATAGATATATTTCATTGGTAATTATATAATAAATATCCTCACTGAATAGTATCCGTATAAAGTCTGCAGCAGGTCACGTGATCATGAGCATTAAGCTTATACTTGAGTCTACTTGTGTCGCCTTGGCCTCCAGTTTTGGAGGGAAATGATCACGTGACGTGCTTGAAGATAAAAGAATTTTGCAAACACATTTATTCGTTCTATTTAAAATGATTTGAATAATTTATACAGTTTAAAACTTATTGGTTATTAAACCACTTAGAATGAACCCCTTTCAAAATTATCTTAGGGATGCGAGAAATGAAACATGAAAATAGTCAAAAAGTGCCACAAATTCCAACAAAGAGCTGTGTGCATAGAATATTCAATGTAGTGGTAGTGTTTGTTGAGGGTGTTGTATRCACTCAATTGAAGAATCGTTGTCGGGTTCAGAAGCATAGAACATAAAAGCTGAGACCGAAATGGCACATGGGAAATGACATAATTATATTATAATTTATTCATTTATGCCATCCATGCAGTCGGTTTAGAATGCCAAACGCGTATTAAAAACAGTGGATGATACCACGGGTCGCCGGTCACAGCATGCATCTAATTAACGTACTTCCCATGTGCCATTTCAGTCTCAGATTCTATGTTCTATGTTTCTGAACCCGACAACGATTCCCCAATTGAGTGTACTTAAACATTGCCCTATGGCTAGGGAAACTTGGTGATGACTCCCCGTATCACGACGTAATAATCAAGACTTACAGTCAAAGTAAGAAAACGTGAACACCTAAAATATGTCTGGAATGGTAAGTATCGTGTTCTGTCCAATCACATGCTAGAATAGATTCATTTCTAATTAACTGTCATGTGATTGGCCAGAACGCGATGTTTAACATTCCAGACATATTTTAGATGTTATCGGTTTTCTTACTTTAACTATAGTTTTAATTATTATTTTTTCTCGTATCCAAAATAATTTTGAAAGTGTACCACGCAAAGGAACTAAACGTTCGTTCTCTTCTCTAATTAAAAAATTTAATTGTTTTGTTTTAATAGGAAATCTTTGATTTTTCCAATGAAATGATAACATTAAAATCTAAAAGCATTTATGTAAATCTAATATATTATAATTCTTCACGACTAAATCCTATTCCCAGAATATATTAAAAAGTATTTAAAACAAAACAAGTGTTGTACGTATGAATTGATGTAGAAAAAATAATTATTGTAAGAAAATATTTATAAATTATGGAGAAAGATTCAAGTCGTTTGAAAAAGCTTTGTTCATGTGACTACTAGCCATTCCGAGGATGATAAAAAAAAGCTGGGTCGAGTTGACATTGCAATGCATTATGGTACTGTCTTAGGGGACGTATTTTCAAGATGGTGTCTATAGACCCCTTGCATGTGATGTGGGACTAAACGAAAGAATTTCAATATCCTGAGGATTGAAACCTATTGTTTTGTCCCCCTGATTTAGCTGCATTCCAACGTGCTGCAAGGGGTCTTTTTCCTTCCCTTAAACAACCTCACAATGCACTGCAATGCCAACGCGACCAAGAATTTCCTCAATCTCGAAGTTTCAAAAAGCGTGATACTTTTAGTATATTTGACGTATCGATAACATATCCTATGAGTTAATGCAAGTTTACGTCTTTCGGGACTAGCTTTCTGTAATCGAGTATCCCGCGGGTCGTCTTTCCTTTTTGACTGAGCATGCGCAAAATATGGCAGTGTTGTACTTCATGAATCTCTTACACGGGTTTGGTCTTGTTTTGCCGACATCTTTAGAACTAAGGCAGAATTCTCCGTACGAATGAAGCCCGAAGGTCGGCGCTTCTGTGATTGGTTGATTGAAAGCGGTTATGGAATTGATGTAGAACGCATTTCCCCTGCTTATAAAGCGAGAGGTAATGATCATATTGAAAAACGATTCGTAGCCATCTTCGGCCGCTTCGGCCGTCAGGATTTCAATTCTTTCGTAGAAACGCGAGTCGCGGTTATTGTTCACGAACTTAGCGCATGCTCGAAATGCGTTTCCGCTGACAAACAACGCTGTCACGCGAGTCCTTTTGAGTAATCCGTCGAAAAATATGCGATCGTGAGCCACCGCACCAAGCACTACGACACGTGGTCCATACGTTTGACGAATACCTAGAACACAATAGGACATCTTTTGAATGTTTCAGATAAATCCCTGCGTCTAAGGGAAGAACGTGAGGGAAAGGAGGTAGGGGAGGTGTCCTGGATGCCCTTGCAGGAATACCTTGACTTAAAATAGCTTCATCGGGATTGTAAAGGTACTTGTTGTGCGATCAAAAACAAACAAACATACAAACAAACAAAAATTGTGCTCACACATACAACAGAAAAAAAGAAGTAAAATCCAGTGCTTTGGAGTTGCACAGCCAGGGTACGATTACACTTGGCAATGTTTTATGCAAGGTTTGCATGTGTACGCATTCGTCCGTACTAGATTGAGGCGAAGAATAATTCAAGCGCGATCATAGATTATATTGATTCTCATCCCAGGCACTTTTCCTTGCAGCTTGTTACGCAGTCTTGTTGCAAGACAAGTTGCACAAGAAATTGTCGAGAGTAACATATGAGACACTTGTCTTGCAAACTTGTTGCAGCGTTGCCGCCGTAACCGTTGCGAAAACTAGAGAAGAGTTCTACTTTTGCAATGATTACGGCAATAGAATTTCAAGACATGCCTAACACCACTCCTACAACTTTTCAAAATTTTGCACTGTATTAAATTCAAAAATAAATACATCAGAGGACCTACTGAACTACTGTGCCTTGCATGGTCACATAACATTTGCAACTGAGTGAAAGTGATCCTCAATTTAAAGCCGTCCTTCCTATGTATGGTGTTTGACAGGTGGGTTTCAAACAGTACGCTGATATGCAAAACTACACAAGTTTGAAGAAGTTCAAAAATTTTCAATGCATTTTCTGAACTTCAAGACTTTAAATAGGACTGATTGTAAAAGTGTTCTTGAAATTAAATATCTAAAGAGTAAGGATCTTTCTATTACCTGCAGCAATGTGTGGAATAAAATCTCTGCTGTGCGTTAGAGCAGTAAGAATCACCAGCTTCGCAGGTGTCGATGCATCCAGTCCAAAATACTCGGCCCAACTTTGTCCTCGAGCTGGCTTGGGCTGCCTTAAATACACGTGATGGTATTGAACTCCATCCACTTCCGGTAAGATAATCAGTCCGTTGCCTTGACGCTTATGCAAGATGGCGCGATTCCTGGCAATTGGGAGTTGTTGATCTAATAAAATCCTTTCCGTAGTGCATCCCAGGAGAAGACATTGTTTTGGAATCCTACGACTTAGAATATTTAAAGTTCTGGCCAAGTGTCTCTCTTCGGTTCTCCGGGCATCTCGGTCTCTTCGTAAGTGCCAGCTCTCGCGCTGATTAATTAAGATCACAACGCTGGGGTTGACCCGGATGTTGTCCATCAGGTCGTCCACTTCTTTCGTCGATATAAAACTGTTATCGTAGTATTTTATCACGCACCGACCTCGCTCATTGAGCAAACGTCTCGAAATCTCAAACCACATTCTGTTCACGCATGACGTTGTTCGAAGGGTTTTGGCCGGTAGAAGGCGCAGAATTGTGTCTACTATTTCTGGTAAAGACGCAAGGAATGATTCTGATGTTCTCTTTCTTCGAGTTTTCATCCTAGTTAACTTTAAAACCATGAAGAAAAAGAACTACATAGATTTAATTGACGGTAATTATTAGATTATGACGTACTCGCGATAAGATTTCGGCTATTATTAGAAGCTTGTAAACAAACCGTTCTAAAAGTGTGATTTACCTAAAGGAAGTGAAACTTCTTTTACACCTGTGGCGATTTAACAGGTAACAGCAAGCGAATTTTAAAATATTTACCTAAAACAACAAGAAACAAACGACCACCAGAAGTCCAATCAGATCGTTCCACTATTTGACGTAAGTTCGAATCGCGCGCGCGTGCGTACTTCGTAACTGACGTCATTAATGATCTTTCATATGCAAGTAATTTATTTTGTTGAAGTTGTTTGAAGTTTCACTTAATGAAGATACATTTTATTTATCGAAGACAAGAGATTTGGATCTCGACTGATTAACATCAACAAGAGAAGTGAATGATTTGACGAATCCAACGTAAAAGTAAGAAACGTTTTAGAGAAATAATTCCATTTTCTGAAAAAAAGTATACCGTTAAAAGATAATGGATGAGAGAAAATCTGGTAAAAAAGAATTTCAAGAAGGTCTTGGCGAATCTTCCCAGAACGATTACCAACGTCAAAAAGAAGCTGCTAAAAAAGCAATGCTGGTAGCGAACGATTTTAATTCTAGCGACGATACTACCTGTGGTGAACGTATAGCTTCGTTTCTCGTATCTGCGGATCTTACTAATAAAGATGGCGATTCCAAACACAAAGAAGCCTTCCATCCAAGCAGGCCGATTCTTTGGACGAAGGGCAAGTATAAATCTCGCGATGGAAAATCTCAGAGTTCTCAAATCAAGCCATTTTATTCAGATATGGTGGTAAGACGAACTGGAAATGATCTTCCAAAAAGTGATGGAAGTTTGGCCCAGAAAACCAAAATTCAACGCTCAACTTTACATCATTGCAGCATTACAAATAACACGGACCCAAGCAGAGAGGTATATATCGTCGAGAAGAAAAAAGCAGTTTCGCATAAAAGATGTTTCGAATCTTATGATGCTTCAACGAGCAAAGATGAAAAACACAATGCGAATTTTTCATGCTCAGACAGAGTGTCTATTCCAAGAATGAGAAGCGAAAAAGAAGATATTTCGTCTGTGGATAAGAAGCGTACTAAAGATTTGGAAGCTACTAGTTCTGAGGACTGGAAAGACAGACAAGAGGAAAATACAGAAAAAAGTCTTAATTTCAGAGCAACAACAGTTCCAAAAAAGGAAAGACTTACTGTTGCTGAATCGAAAAAGAAAACTATTTCAGGTTCAAAAATAGTCGAAAAGGAATGTAAAGATTCTGAAAGAGACCACCAAGTCAACGAAGGAAATCGGAAATCAGCGAAACTTAGAGGAGCTGCAAAAGACCCAGGCGGAAAGAAAATGGCTAAAACTACTATGGTTATTGACAAAGATGAGCTGAAGAGTAAATCTGAGAACCATGTCAGTTTTTCATTCACAGGGCATCTACCAGGAAGAATTCCTGGAACGTATTCCCTCATTGATATCGAAAAACTCAAGCAAAAGCATTCAAGATGCTGTCGAGAGTGTCTTGAGGCCCGGGCGAGAAGTGCAGCACCTTTCAGGAAAGGTGACAAGGAAGAACAAGCTAAAAAGATGATTACTGGACGACCAACTGCTCCAGTGGTTGCAGTCGACCGTGCTTCTTCCCCGGAGGAGCAGTTGGAAAATAGCATTGTGTTTTTTCGTAATGCTCTGAATGCAGTTGACTTGCTTGAGAAACTTTTCCAAAACATCGGTAGCACCAAGGAATTTTTGCAGAATGTTTATGATGGATTGGAAGAATCCAACGACGTGGCTAGATGCAGGAGGAATATGACCCAGGCACGTGAAGGAGACGAAGGTCCAATACAACCCAAGGATATCCCGAAAGATGATAGAAAAGAAAAAGTAACTAACGAAAATCATGAAGTTGAAAATAAGAAGGTAGTTGGAAAGCCAAAGAAAAAATTCCACAGTAGAATAAGGTTCAAGAACAATGGTGCAACAGGACAGTCAAGTGATATGACAAGGTAACTATTCACCGTTTAGACCCCTTGCAGCACGTGGGAATGCACTTGCTTGTCACGCAAAGGCTTCAGCATGAGGCTACGTGCTAAATTAAATTWATTCCTACCGCCTGTCAAGAATGACTGAGCATTTAGCACGTAGCCTCAAACTGAAACCTTTGCGTGACGAGCGAAGCATATCTCGGAAGTGAGCTATTTAGAGGACACAAAAATAGGTTTCCAATTCTGAAGAGATTGAAATTTTTTTGTTTTGTCCTCCAAATTGAGCTGCTTTGACGTCACAAGCAAGGGGTCTATAGACTGTTTGCAGCACTATTGAATGCAGCTCAATCTGGGGGACAAAGCAAAAGGTTCCAGTTCTCATAAGATTGAAATTCTTTTGTTATGTCCCCCAGATCGAGCTGCTTTGACGTAATACAAGGGTCTATAGTCTTTATTTTTGAATTAGCACGTTTCATTTGCTTGAGTATGATTTCTTTGCCTTAGATATAACTTAAGATACTAGTAAAGGGGCTTGTGGAGCCCAAAAGGTTTAAAATGTGAAAACAGGCTATACATATATTTCTTTATCTTGGCTTGATGTTTTTACATTTCAGACTCCGTGTCATTTCCTTTAGAAGCCTTTCTTTGTTTACTGGTTGCTCATGAATATGGATACAACTTAGACAAAGAATCTTATTCTCAAGGGAATGACACGTGGTCTAAAATGCCGAAATCTGTTGTTTGAGTTATTAACATCAGGTATTGTTTTTTTGACCACATTTTCCATCTTTTTTGTTTTTTGTTTTTTTTAAATCAGCTTGAAACAAGACCAGAAATCAAAGCCAAAACGAGACCGCGATAAGAATCTCTTGGAACTCAGCGATGAATGGAAGAAAAGGTATAGTTGTCGTTGATATTTGATTCATTCGTGACATTCTAACGATACAATGGACCCTTCTCAAATTATCTCTAAAATTATAATACAAAAGATATGCCACAAATTCCATCGAGAAAAAGTGTGATTTCAAGTTAGTTTGCATCAATCTAAAGTTTTCATGGCTTTGAAAATGGGTGAAACGTGACACGGTTACGRTGTGGAATTGATGACATACTCTGAACCAATCACAGTGCGCCAGATCACTGATGAGCCTATGAAAATACTCAGGCACGGCACAGTAACGGTCACGACAGAGCACGACATACAAATTATGTCTCGGTTATCGCTGGGTTTTACTTTCACTTTCAAGTTTTCAATAGGATTCTTTCTGGTTGACAGCACAGGGTGGTCAGTGTTTGACCACCATTTGGAGCAGATAATGGGATTTAAAGACTTTTATCAGCTGATTCAAACCATGCAATACTCCAGCTTCGAGTTCTCTCTTGCTCAGGGTTAATTAGCCTTGACTTTGTGCAGAATATTCATGTGTTCCGGTTAGGATTCATGGAATAGACCTCCTCGGCTCGGGCGTAATGTTTTCCCATTTCAGACCACGTGTCATTCCTTAGAGTATCATTGCTTTGTTTAACGGTTGCACATGAGAAGACACATGAATATGGAAACAACTCAAACAAAGAATCTTATTCTCAAGGGAATGACAGGTGGTCTGAAATGGGAAAACTTTACCCCGAGCCGATGAGGTCTATTTCAAAGTGTTTGTATTTATTGTTGAAATTGTGCATTCTGTACTTTACCGTTGGTATTTTGAATAAACGGACACTGAAATGGGGCTAACCCTGTGTTTCGTTATGCGCGAAAAGCATGAATTYAATTATAGATTCCTTTCTGCACGCACGCACGAGTAGCTTGCCTCGGATTAAGTCGCATTTGTATATAAGTAAGTGACGCTAATTTAAATTCAGTTCGTCGAGTTTCAGAGCAAGCTACCGGGTAAGTCAGATCGCTTAAACTTTATATATATTTTTCTACACAAGTAACGCTTTATTTTGCTTCGCATTTTTTAGATTTCGAACCAACTCGTA